GACGGTATGCGGCGGGAACTGAGATGGCGAGTGGAAGGAAATCCGACATGTGGGCCTCACCAGCAGGACCGCGGTCCTTTTATACTGCCTCAGGGGGCGGGCAGACGGGTACTGTTGTTGACCCTTGCGTCGTCCTCGTATATTACAATTATGGTGGCAAATGCATAAACAATATTGTGTTCCATCTGGTATTGAAAGGATATGATATTGTTTATACCAACGTATCCTTTATTCTTGACATCCTCAAATTGTGGGCAGATGCTGTTTATCGTTGGTGACCGCTCTTATTGTGCTGATAGATGCTAATTATAGTTGGGTGACCCGCTATCGTTGTTGTCGTTGTTGCAGATAATTCCTTGTGTCCCATCTGGCTAGACGTCAATCACTACCAGAAGATATATAGAATAAAGTTACTATAGAGGATATTATTTTCTACTAGATAATGTTTATTGGTCGACTTGTCGACATTAGGACTGATATTTTTTCTAGTGATCAAATATAGGACTCTCTCAGGATCATCGACAGTGTTGCAGATGTCATATTCATTGGATTGAGTTCCACAATTGATTGATTGGATGTTGATTTGTTCTTTAGACCGTTAGATGTTGTTCCATCATTGTTGATTTTGTGATCTGAATGATTACGATTTTTCCTTCTTCTCCTTCTTAGTGCTTATTGAGTATAGCACAAAGTTTACCGTTTTTGTATTGATAAGCATTGTTTTCTTTTACTGATCTCACTTCGCCGTTTTCACTATATGAGCGTGATATCCGTGTTACAGTAGGACTGTTACTCTTTTTCTCCAGAACTGCGAGATATGGGATAAAGCGTTCGACGTTGATCAACCTTGACAGAAGCGCTATTCATTTAACTTGATCGCACATTGTAAGGCATATGGCTTCTATAGTGGCTTCCAATGGTCTACCGACGTATTAAGTCAGTGCCGCTATCTTCTCAAACAGTGGTACCAATTTGTCTATCCTGGGCGTGTGGAAGGGCTGAGGAGCCCAGCGCGAAGGGTCGAAACAACGGCCACGTGTGTATTGCAGAGTACTCCTAACCACTGCGTTACACGCTCTCCTTAACCATGCGTACTGTTTTGAATCGCTAAGAAGATTGAATAGAACATTTTTAGAAGTGTTTTTTGGACTCTATAGATTAGTCTTCTTTCAAAATGAAATAGCACTGCAATACCATTGTCATCCTCCATTGCTTTAGTGTTTTCTTTTCTGAGTTCTCTGAAGACCCTTCGAGCTATGCTCCACGCTAATCCTTTGAGTACAAAAACAACGAGTGAGACCATTATAATAATGGAACCGTATTTGATTGCTGAAAAATTATACAGTCCACGTAGATAAAACAATGGGAGAAACCAAACATAATGTGCCTATGCTGTTGCAGCCTACCATTTCTTGTTTCTGGTGAGGATTCATTGGGATCCACATAGCGAATATCGTTCGCATCGTAGGATACTGCAGCTCTGTTTGATCGTGGACCACCAATCCATTCTAGGGACCAGAGATATCCTGTGGCTACAGCAGTAATGCTAGCATAGAGCCATACCATTGTCCAGAAGATGGTGACGGTCTGAAATTACGCGAACATGTTTCTGTTTAGTTATCAGATTTTTGCAATCAGGGCACGTGTTGAGATAGGAAGTGCCCTGTAATACGCATATGGTCCTTCGCTTCATCTCGTGCCACTTTTTAAACAAATGTGCGATTTGTGTCATCCACTCCGCAAACCCTAGCTCGCACCATTCCTACCTCTCGTTAAAAGAAAAGGAAAATGACCCATACCCTTTCTTTGGCCTTCGGTTGGTATATCTGTGCGTTTTTATTTTTACTCCTGTGCTTTCTGTTTGTGCCTATCCTATGTGTTCCTCTGTAATTTTCATCTTTATAGACCAATTTTTTAACTTTTATGCATACAAGATTTCGTCGATCATCAAATAATTGTACTGTCAACTGTTCATAGTTTGTTGTAAAACATTTTGAATGCAGTTCAACGTATTTATATATTTTTATATCTATTCATTCCAAACTGCACCCATATTTCATCGTAGTGGTTTCAAAAAAAAAAAGAAAAAAAAGAAAAAAAAGAAAATCAACTGCACGACAGAAATTGGATTTCATGAACTAAGATCGTGTCGGAGAAGGACGAATTGAACTTCATTCTCGACCAACTGCTTATTGAGAGTGAAGAAAGAGCTGAAGGAGTCGACGACAATTAAGGGCTGCTTCCGCTTCGTGTACAGTCCCATGCCTAAGCTTTCCTTAATGGCCAGTTTGGTGCATATCAACTGCTTCTGTTTAGATGGGCAGAACCTGTGGGTTTTTTATAGATTATTTACGACCAACATTTAAGATTACAGCTCATTCTACCCATTCAATGGTTCGACCTCGCTCCGACTCCACCAAGCTTGTCATATCTGCGGTGTCTGAAACTGGTTGCAGAGTTGTGTGATACATGTGCACTCCTTTTCATCCACGTGGAGGAGTCTAGCGCGGACATCTCAGGCTACAGGAAGAATAGATTCGGCCATTATTGAACTATACTAGTGATAAAGAAAGTTCTCAAAAGGAAAAGACGAGGACGAGAAGTTTCCAAGCAGCAGCCAAAGCCTCAGGCAAAGAAGTTAGGAGACCATGGTGGATAGTGGAAGCGAGGAAACAAATCTTGAACCTAAGAAGTGGTGGAATCCGCACAATGTGATAAATGTGATGCCGGACCATGCAATTTAAGAAATTCGAAAAATGATTAAGATCCAATTGTGGAAGTGCTGTAGAGATACGGACAAGATAGAGGAGTATCCTAGCGAACGAACAGCTGTTGAAAGCACTTGTTTGAAAGGTGGTTGTTCCAACTCCGTTTAGGTGACATTCTGTTACAGCCAAGAGAACTTTTGCAAGATCAGCGTATTTTCAAGCTTGTCAACTGAAATTTTCAGGTAGTTTGCATGCCTATCAGAAGAGTGATGAATTCCTCACGCTATTTAGTGGGTGTCGCATTCCATCAGTATGTGCCGTGAGAAGTACAAGCATGGAATTAAGTTATTCATAACGTAATCACTTTTTTATTAACTGCCCATTCTTTTTCATGGCAGGGTATGATATTAATTATAAGACATTCATATTCGATGTGGACATCGATGTGGATCTAGAGAATTATGATGTATGTATGTAGAGGGCACTTAAGAACTGGAGATGTGATTGAATCGAGAGCGATGACTGTCATGGAGGATTTGTTGGTTGAGGATATCTGTGCACTTAAAAGTGTTGCAAGGGTTTTGGTGGCCAAGAGCGTTAATATCTGCTACAAAACTTATCAATCAATTTAACTGTGAAGAAAGCACGAACGAGGAAATAATTGTCAGTTTTTTCTCTGAGGGCGTGGGGTGGAGGTTGTGAGTGGGAGGCACGCCCTTTGTAGTTTTCGGAGCCATGGTCCATTTTTCAAACTTCAGTCAATGTATGGTCGTTACTGTACAGGCGTGTCAGTTTTATCTTTCGTTAATTTGATTTCTAAGCAACTAGCTATAATAGTACCTCATAGATAAGAATTGGAAGAACTAGCAAACTGTTTCGCTTCCTCCAAGAGAATGCATAAGAGGTGAGTGAAAATACAGCCAACGCCAAGAACGCGAAGTTGATGAAGACCGGCACTGCAAATTTCATCAGAACTGCTGAACTAACGTGGAGATAACAATGTGTCCTGTGAGACGTTTTCTTATATAAATTCCAAAAGGTTCTGAGTAAGTAGTATTAGTATACGGGGAAATCTTGTGAGTTGAATTAACTAAAAATTCATATGATCCTGAGCGACGAAGACTTCGAAATTAAATGTTTGTAATTTCGGATTATGTGTTAGCGCACTACGAATTAACCTGTTTGGCGCGAGGAAAAATTCATGTGCTTTGTCTCTAAATTATTATTGAGTATCATTGAACTAGTCGTTCTCAGAGCGCTTATGTACTGCTTGAAAGGAGCTTACTCAAGAATTACTATTAGAGCAAAATTATGTCGCTGAATGGAAGCTCGAAAGGTCGATTGGTTGGATTAGGTGGGTGGAAACGGGCCTCGTTAACAGAATGAAGGGGACCTTATGAAGTCAGTTTTTTTTAACCTGTCTTGGGTTTCATTGATCTAGAATAAATGGGAATCTTACAGAGAATCCTTTAGTCTTAATTACTTTATTGAGGCAGTTCCATGCTTTTGAAAGGTACACAGTTTAAAAGGAAAGGTGAAAATGATAAGCGGATGGAGTGTTGTAGAAGAAAACACTTGAAGAATTAAGTGAAACAGAATTGCTGAGAATTTTTTCTTGAATATTATTTTGGAGCAGTTTAATGTTGGTTTTGGAACTAACACCATGTTGGTGAGTATATGATAGAGCAGATGGAGATGACGAGTTGCAATTTGGTGATGATCGACTCAAATACAACCATACATCGTGAAGCTGTCTGGAATTGGTGTTTTCATGCGCAAAGCTTCTAAAATGACAGGACTTGAAGTCGAATGAGAATAATGTTTAAAAGTGCTGTAGACGATTAGAAGAATATAGCTCGTAATTAGTTGGACACCCAGATAAATGAATGACTATCTCCACGAATCGTGTGAGTTCTAGAATACTTTCCACTGGGTTGGTGTTATTGTATGAGCGTGGTTTTTTTTCTCCAAAAAACTTGATAGCAATCTGTTAGCAGTTTAAAAGCTGATGTAGGGATTTCCTGCCCCCTCATTGCTACACTGCTGACGATAATCTTGCAATCCATGGTATCTTGCCGCTAGCTGAGCATCTTTAGGAAGACATCATTTTTCTTCAAAACCTCAAAAACCTTTGCCTAATAGATGAACAACGATTTAATCACCTCTCTCCTAGGACTATCATATCTCACGATGTGAGTATGAAGCAGCATTGGGAGTTACTGAGGAGGTACTAAACATTGAACGAATTAAGAGACAAGGTTAATATGGCGGGAATGTGAAGAGGTGTGATGAAATGTTCTACTCCTGTTCATCTTCTAATCTACGATAACACTTCTAATTTCAAGCCATGCTTTCTCGGATAACTCGATAACTCGTATTCACTGGTAGCATGGACCCATAGCTTAATTTGCACTCGTTTCTCTTCGGCGTAATTGTCGTCCATGGTGTTGGTCTGCTACGAACGTGATAACGTCGGCGAGACCCATTCCAAATTCTTAAAATTCCATCCGCGAAAGATAGCTGACGTTAACCACGAACATGTTCTCTCAGTGTGTAGGTGGTCGCCCTAGTGGACGCCTACGTCATCGTGGAGTCCACTCTGCAATTCTTTTCTTCTATCTGTCATCTATTTTCACTATTATTGACTAACCTATCCATGTTTCGCTACCGATGTATATTTTCCTGGTTCCCCAAGATCGGATAGGTTTCGAAGATCTGAGCTGTGCATTCTAGCTAAAAGTTATGGGTGGCACGTAAATTTCAGAAGATACCGTTCAAGCGCTCTGGGTGATGCACAGATTTCTTGAAGTGGTTGAAGTACCAACCTATATTTCTGGTGCATTACAGGGCGTTGAGAAAGCGGTTGAATTGAAAAGTTTCAAAGGCCGGAATGCGACCCATGCTGCTCTGCTTCTTCTGTCCAATTCCACCATTTTGTTCTCTATGTTCACTGAACGTCCGAGGTACACGTACGAGGTGATGTCTGCAATCAAAGAACCATCCAGTTCGATTTGTTTGCCTTTGCTGCATGAGATCTTCATGAACTGAGGCTTATCCTTTTTCTCCCGCTTCGTTGAGTTCATCGAGGATCGTCTCTGCTTCATTGATACTCCTCAAAAAGATAACGATGTCATCCATAAAACGAAAATTTGGTGGGAATTTTCTATGAATACTTATGCTGTCGTCTCAGTCGAGTCACTTCCTTATCTACTGCAGTCTGGGAGAAAAGATCTTTGGTGAAATTGTGGTGCCTAGTCGAAACTCTTTCCCTATGGTGAGGGGTCGACGGAAAAGCTGTATACGTGTGCTGTAGTTTAGATAACATTCAGCTAATATTGCCTACGAGCCAAAACCTACGAGGTTTTGTATCGGAACGTTTCCTCTTCTTGCTTTTCGTCTCTTGTATGGCAACCACATGGAATTTGATCCGACCAGTGGTATCAAGAAAATCGTAATGATCGACGTCTGAACAGACTATTATGCGTACAGGTGCGCAGCAGGAAGCAGCCTCCATGGCGCTTTGTGGACGTCCTTGTTTGTTTTTCATTTTCAATTACGTCATGTGCAACCCGAGATTTGATCACCCTTAACCCGTTCTCTCATCGCCCGACGTTGTTCACAGAGCGTCCAGTGGGCGGGGTACTGAGACTGGTTCTTTGCAGCCAGTACAGTTTTATTTAATATCGAAGTCGGCTTAGCCGAAGTCTTCGTCAGGTTATCTCCACCCTAAGTGGTCCCCGGTCTTTGTGGATCAGAGGAGGATTTGCTACCACATGAATAGTTCGATGCCAAGACGGTGATGATTTCTGATGTTCGTTTGCTCTTAGCTGGGCTTGCGGATGGAAACATCGGAATCGTTCTCAGCTTAGGAGTCCCTGCTGGGGATATGAACCAATGCTGTGCATAGCAATCTGACACTCAGGAACACCACATGGCCACAATTAGGCCGTAAACCTTGGGAGATTCCAAACTATAATCGCTTCGTCATGTTTATAATGAATAACACTTTAATAAAACATTTGCTAGGGGACAACTAGGAGCTATAAAAGTGAAATTAGATATCAACCGGTAGGCACGAAAAATAAATTATCACCTTTATCGGAATTCCACGAGATTTCATTGAAATTGCTGGATAGAGTGCAGTTGAAGGTGAGTTGTATCAGTGACTAACACACGCCTTATCAGAAACTGATGAAATGATGTACGTTAGCGATAAGCTTGCAAGTCAAGTACTTCCAAACCAACCAATGTTTTAGATTTAAACACAACTCTAACTCACGTTGAAAGTTTATCAATTGAGAACGGAACTTTTGAACCTGCTTAAATCCTACTTAATTTTTTTTTCTTGACGGTATGAACACTTTTCATTACCACAACGTTGCTGAGATATTTGCAAAACTCTGGACCACAGGTGTCTATGGTGGGGAACGAACGCGCTATTATCCTTTCCGG